GTATTCTTTTCTAGTTCATCTTTGTTTATTCCTATTATGGAATTTCTTCTTTGCTGTGCTGTCATGATTGGGACTTTTGGGACACTCTGTGTTTAGGATTCTGTTATGTATCTTTTGCTTGTTGGCTTGGTGGCCTGCACTGCTTTAGTTTGTACTTGTCTTGAAATATCTTTATTTCTTCATCAATTTTAAAAGATAATCTTGTTAAATTAGCAATCTTGGCTGACAGTTACTTACTTTCAAGGCCTGAAATACATCGCTTCATGCTTTCCTGGCCAATGTGTCATGGAGAAGTTTCTCTGGTTGTATCTATTTGCTCTTAGATATTTATTCTTTCCCTAGATTTAGAATATTTCAGCTATAATTTTTTTAATAAATTTTCTATAGTTTAATTTTTATCTCAGTTTCTTTATTTATCCTATAGATTCTTAGATTTGGTCTCTTGATCATGTCCCAAGAATTCTTTTTTAGGAATAACTTTCTAATGATTCTTTGAAAATTTCAAAAACTGTGAGTTCGTCTTGCTGCTGTAGACTGAAGACTAGCTGATCTATTGGAATTCATCAGACCTTTAGCACCAGATTGGGACTACTGAGACATCCAGCCTTGTGGACTGAGCAACTATGGATTCTCAGCCTCTCCAGTGTGGTGCAGCCATTGTTGGACTACTCGGACTCTATCCTGTGAGCTAAGCTGATAAATTCCTATACACATATATTCATTCTACTGGTTCTGTTTCTTTGGAGAACCCTGACTGATACACCAGCCTTGTGTTTGTCTTTCTGGGTCTAAGTTACCTCACTTGGGATAATTATTTCCAGTCCATCCATTTACCAGTGAATTTCATAATTTCGTTTTTCTTAACAGCTGGATAGTATCCCATCGTATAAGTGTATCATATTTTACTTATTCATTCATCAGTTGATGGGTATCTAGATTGTTTCCACTTCCTGGTTATTGTGAATAGAACAGCAATGAACATAGATGAGCAGATATCTCTGTAGCAGGATACAGAGTCCTTTGGGTATATGTCCAAGTGTGCTATGGCTGGATCATGTGGCAAATCTATTTCCAGCTTTTTGTGGAACATCCACACTGATTTTCATAATGACTACCCCAGTTTATACTCCCACCAGCAGTGAATAAGTGTTTCTATTTCCCCACATTTTTGTGAGCATTTGTTGTCATTTGTTTTTTTTGAATCTTGGCCATTCTGAGTGGGGTACTCTCAAAGTAGTTATGGTGGTGTGATTAAGAATGTCCTCTATAGGATCCAAGTATTTGAACATTTTATCCCCAGTTGTTGGCACTGTTTTGTGAGGTCTTAGAAGGTGCGGCCATGCTGAAGGAAGCATGTCACTGGGGGCAGGTTTAGAGAATTCGTAAGCCTTGCCGGATCTCCAGTCTCTGTTTCCTGTGCCTGCTTGAAGATGTGAGTGCTCCTTTTTCTGCTCCTGTCACCTCTGCTGCCATGACAGACTCTAATTCCCCTGGAACCAGAAGCTCAAATAAACTCTTCCTTTTAAGTTCCCTTGGTCATGGTGTTTCTAGCACAGCAACAGAAAAGTAATAAATACAGTAGTTTTAATTTGCATTTCTCTGGTGGCTAAAGATGCTGAACATTTAAAACATTTCTCAGCCTTTTGTCTCATCCTTTGAGAACTCTCTGTTAGTTCCTTGCCCCAATTTTTAGTTGAGTTTTTCTGATGTTTGTTTTTTGAATTTTTTAATATATTCTAAATACTAACCTGTCAGCTGCATAGCTGATAAAAATTCTCATTCTGTAAACTGCCTCTTCACTCAAATGATGCTGCCCTTTGCTGTATAGAAATTCCAAGGATTCTTGAAAGTTTAGTCATACTTGTATGCTTGCTTTCTTTATTGATATCTGAATGTAGTATTTCTTCAATCTTCCATCACTAATGTTCTTTCTTTTTTTCTTTGTGACTGTGTTGTGTGTTATATGCATGGTATAAGTATGTGTGTGCCCATCTATGGAGAGGTGTGTATGCCTATGTGTGCACATGTGGAAGTCAGAAGATGACTTTGATTGTCTTCCTCTGTTTCTCTCCACCTTAATCCCCTGAGACAGGGTCTCTCACTGAACCTGAAATTCTCCCTTTCAGTTACCCTGGCTGGCCAGTGAGCCACCAGGGTCTGCCTGTCCCTACCCTGAACACTGGGGTTATAGGTATATATAGCCATGTCTGCCTGCTACATAGATAATAAGCACCCAAACTCAGGTCTTCAATCTTCACAGCATGTGCTCTTACCCACTGAGGCATCTTTTTCATCTACTAATATTCTTTCTTATGCTTAATCTAATCTTTCACTCATGCTTTCTTTTTATTTGATCATTCATCAGTATTCATTGATCATTTTTTAAAGTAGACTTTTGAATTCTTAGTCTGACATTTAAACCATGTCATATCCTTGGACTTGATAATTGAGGAGTTATGACCTTTTCAAGGTATCATCCTCCTTTTACATGTTTTTTGTAGTTCTGTGTTACAATTTCCTCATCTTTAGCTTGCATGTCTATTTGTATTTTATTTGGGGATCTTCTTATTGAGGAGCCTACTCTTAAGGACTTAACTCTCAATAAACAAACTTACAATGAATAAACCACTGTAAGAGGAAAAACTCTAAACACAATATGGAAATAAACTAAAAATTGATATACTACCAAAAACAGAACATAGAGAAAGTAATGTGAATATATTCGAAAGTTAAAGCCCATTTATGGCAAAAGCAGAGATAGTAAATTAATGTCATAAAGAAAGAGGACGGGGCTGGCAAGATGGCTCAGTTGGAAAGGCACTTGCCATGCACACCTAATCACCTGGGTTCAATCCCTAGAACCCATGTATAAATGGAGGGAGAAAACTGACTCCACAAAGTTGTCCTCTAACTCCATATTTGTGCTGTGGCATGTGTGTACACACGCACACATCATATATACACACAATAATAATTTTTTAAAGGGAACAAGAAAAATGGGGGGGAAGAAAGATACAACATTAAATAAAATTTTTAAAAATAGAGAAGAATGCTGGGCATGGTGGTGCACGCCTTTAATCCCAGCACTCGGGAGGCAGAGACAGGCGGATCCTCTGTGAGTTCGAGGCCAGCCTGTTCTACAGAGTGAGTTCCAGGACAGCTGGGGCTACAGGGAGACCCTGTCTCAAAAAGACCAAAAAGAAAAAGAGAAGACTGTTACCAAGACGGAGAGAAAAGACCAAGATATTAAAACAATCTGCACAATAAAGAAAAAATATAAACAAAATTAAAGAAGAGATCTAAAAAGTAAAGACAAAAATCTTTACAAAGTCAAAAATACTACTAAAACTTTTTAAAAATTTTTATTATTTTTATTTTATGTGTATGAGTGTGTTGCCTGCATGTATGTAAGTGCACCCATGTTGTGCCCTGCCCATGGAGGTCAGGAGAGGGCATCGGATCCCCTGGAACTGGAGTTATGGGTGGTTGTTAGCTGCCACGTGGGTGCTGGGAATCTGAAAGAGCAGCCAGTGCTCTTATCCACTAAGCCATCTCTCCAGTCCCAAAACTGTGTTTTTTAAAAGGAGGAACACAAGTGGTAAAATAAAAGATGAAGTACCGGAACAGCTTCTTTCTGGATCCTCCAAAATAATCTACTAGGCAGAGGGAAGCAGTCAGTTGGAGCTGAAGTCTCTTGTCTTTCTTTCCTATCATTTAGGCTGGTGCTGAACCTGGACTAGTCAAATGTCACATGTTAGACAGAACTGTCTTCCCTCTAGGAGCTTCCCTCCCATGTGTACCAGATCCTATGCTGACCACCCTTAGCTTTGCAGTTCAGTCCCCAGCAGATGCTCGCATGCTCCCAAGACTCCTCAATTCCTATATATGCTGGGTGGCTAATGCTCTAGACAATAGATGACTCTTGTGTGTGTTGGGGAATGGATAAAGCAAACAGAGCACTGAGATCTGGCGTGACAGTCTCTGCTTTCAACACCCTATTGAGCATTAAAATACCCAGCTGGAGGGATAAGGTTACAGAAGTCCAGAACTCCACTGAACTTCAGTCGTCAGTGCCACCAACAGTGAACCCCACTGCAGAAAGATGACGGCAGGATTTCAGTCTGCCTGTTGACAGCAGGCTCAGAGCTGTAAGACTCTGCAGTTATCCTCAGGTGACAGGATGAAATCCTAGCAACCAAGGCAGGGCAACCACTCACTGTCCCTTCCTCTGTCCAAGTGGAGCCTCCTGTCACTTAAACTTCTCTCCAGGCTGAACTGATTCTTTTTATCGGGCTCTGAGGGTAACTCAGTCTTAAACCACAGTTTCCTTCTCAAGATGGTGCCTAGCCACAGCCTCTGATGTCTGAAGAGAGACAAAATAAAGTCACTATCTCACCAGATGCCCCCCATGGATTAGAGACTTCCGAGAACTGTGGGCTTGTCCTGTGGTTACGACTGTGAGTTTGTTTTAGCAGACCCTGATGGCCTTCCCTTTTGGATGAGGCTTCTGGTTCCCCTGCCTCTGCCAGGGAGCCAGGCTGGAGGCATGTGCTACCTCTTCTCCAAGTCAGCAGTATTCTCTATGGTTCCCCTGGTCTATCACTCCCTTTCTGATTTCCCATGATTTTCCAATCTTTTTTTTTTTTTTCCATTGGCATGGAACTGCTCCTTGTCCTGACTGTTCTTATTTGCCCAGTGTCACTGAGGCAACTTGTAATCTTAGTCTGAAACTGTTAACAGTTTTAAAGTGTTTAAAGCGTACTCTTTTGTGCCTATGTTTTCATGGTATTGACTTACATATTAGGTTTGCCCATGTTTATACACACAGATTTTTTTTGTAGAATGTTGTGATAAGCAGCAGAAGGTGGACTTTATTTTTACAAGTGAATAAACATTTAGTTATACTTCTCAAGTTTGTTTTCTAAATTTCCACACCTTATTACAATCACTGACTTATTATGGTTTAAAGAGTTAAGTATTATTTCTTTTTTCCTACCAAGATGAAATCCATTCTTGAAAAAAATGAGGAGGCACTGTCTCAAGCAGTAAAGTGTCGAGATGCAGCCCTGAAAGAAAGCCAGAAGTTAAAAGGGGACCTGGAGGCTTTGGAGGACAAGGAAAACAAGAAGGTAAGGCATCCTTTCTGAAAATGTCACTAACACTTACAAAATCTTTCACAGGTCACATTCCTGAACTCTGTGTTCCCATTCATGAAAAGGAGTGATCAGTGAAAGATTAGTAATTGTTGTCAGCTGTGTTATCTTACTGTACTAAAAAGCATCATGAGTTTTCCTCCTATCCAGCAGCATCACTGTGCTGGTTGACCATCCCATGTACACTGTACCCACCCTTCCTAGACACTAGCAGTTCTCTATTGAGATCAGTATTTCAACCACATTTAAGTGAGCATATTTGTATGCCTAAATTAGTTTGTTTTGTTTTATTTTTGTTTTTAGAGGGAAAGGGGTTTATTTGAGCTCACAATTCCAGGTTCCATCATTGTGAGGAAATCACACTAACAGGATCTTGAGACAGCTGGTTATGTATGTCACATCCACAAAAGCACCTCCTCCACTCTTAAACAGTCCATGATCCCCACCCCCCCACCCCCAGGGAATGCTGCCACCCACAATAGGCAGGTCTTCCCACTTCTGCTAAGAGAATCAAGATACTCCCCAACAAATATGCCTGCAGGCTAACCCAATCTACATAATCCCTCATTCAGACATTCCAAGGGATTCTAGATTACGTCAAGTGATAGTCAAAAGTATCACAGCTGGTAAAGGCACTTGCCACTAAGCCTGACAACCTGAGTTTGATTCCTGAAAAGCATACAGTGGAAAGAGAGCACCAACTCTTAAGCCCAACTCCCAGCACTGCTCACAACAAACAGACCACCTTAACAAGAACAACTCTAAACTGAACATGATACAGAAATACACTGAAAAGTGATACAACACCAAGAACAGAACATGACAGAAGTAATGTGAGTATACTATGAAGTTAAAAATCATTTATGATGAAATAATTGGAGAGATGGCTCGGTGGTTAAGTGCACTGGCTGTTCTTCCAGAGGACCCAGATTCAGTTCTCAGCACCCACATGGCAGTTAACAACTGTTCATAATTCTAGTTCCAGGGGATCTGGTGCCCTCTTCTGGACTCCATGAGCATTACATGACACAGTTACTCTTGGCATACATGCAGGCACAACACTCGTACTATTAAAATACTATATACACATAAAAACGAATAAGTAATTTTTAAATTATTTATGGTAAAAGTACAAAAAGTAAATGAATGTCATAAAGAAAGGGGATGGACTGGCAAGATGGCTCAGCAGTAAAGTCACTTGATACTTAAGCCTAATAGCCTGAGTTTGATCCCCAGAACCCATGTAGAAGCAGAAGGAGGTAACTGACTCCACAAAGTCCTCTGACCTCCACATATGTACTGTGGCATGTGCCCCCACCCTTAAATAAATAAATTACTGTAAAAAAAAAAAAAGAGGGGGTCTTGTATGTATATGTGGGCTCAAACTATTTACCTCTGCTTGTAAGTACCTCTGCTGTAGTGTATTAAGATTGCAGGTATATGCCACCATACCCATCTCAATCCTGTTCTTTTTAAATTACCCAGGCTGTAGCTGTTAGGGTCCGTGACTCGATGGGTCCCTTCCAGGTAACAAATACACGGGATTGGAGATGTAAAAATCAAGCAGAGTCTTTACTTTCCAGCTAGCTGGGGTTGACCGGCTTCCCAAGACATGCAAGTCTGGTCAGAACGATCGACCCCCATTCAGTTTCAGATACAGATTATATAGGCCCACATAGTCATTATACAAAAAGCATTCCTCAGCAGACACTTTGATCAAACATCTTCTAAAAGCTATAGTTTTGGTTAAACATCTTTTCCAGGAAGGCTAGATCTGGTGTAAGCCTGGTGCAACTTCCTTCTCTTTGTTCCTTATCGGTTATCTGGTATGTGCAAACAGGCCTACAGGACACATTGTAAATCAACTGAGTCTGGGGTCCAGGGTCCAGGAAGGAGGTTTACAGCACTTCAATTCTTAGCATTTCAACTAGGTTAATCATCCATGTGTGGTAGATACAATCAGGCAGAACAGGCAAGCTTAGCAAGTAAATCTAAATCAACATTTTAAACAGAGTTTTCTATCAAAATGCAGAGTTCTTACAGCATTCATCAAGGTATTTCATTTTTTTTTCCCCAACAGTAGCATTCTTTTATAGCAGAAAGCAGTCCAAGACATTCAAGAAGGCCTTGGTGCAAACAAGTATCAAAACCAATGCTTTCACACAACAGGTACTTAGTGGATGATGAGGATGGGGCAGTAAAGGTCTTTAAGGCTAGGCAGGGAAGTAAAGGCTTAGACAGATTCTGTGCCTGCTACCCTCAGTAGAATGACTGTTCTGTGATCAGTTTGACATTGGGGAGTCAGAAATTAAAGTTAGGCTGTCTGCCACACACAGATGCTCGCACAACAGTATATTGCTTTGCAACCATCCTAGGCATTCAAGAATCCTGAGACTGTTTCTATTTCTACCTCTTTCTTTTTTTGGTCTTTTTGAGACAGGGTCTCCCTGTAGTGGGGCTGGCTTGGAACTTACTATGTAGACCACCAGGCTGGCCTTGAACTCACAGAAGATCTGTCTGCCTCTGCCTCCCAAGTGAGGCGTGCACCACACCTGACTTTAAATACCTGTTTTTTACTTCATAATAAGAGATTTTCTTTCTGTGCTCAAATGACATGTTTCTCTCTCTCTCTCTCTCTCTCTCTCTCTCTCTCTCTCTCTCTCTCTCTCTGTATGTGTGTGAGGTGCATGCACATGGGTGTATGCATATGTGTGCTTGTACATATGGAGGCCCAAGGTTGATTTCAAGAATCATTCTTGATCACTCTTCTGCCTTATTCATTGAGGCCAGCTCTCTCAATCAAGCCCAGAGCTCAATGATATGGCTAGTCTTACTAGCCAACTTGCTTTAAGGATTCCCTCTCTCTGCCTACCAAGGCTAGAATAACAGACCAGCCACCACAACCACTTAGCAATTATGTGGGCTTCTGGGGATCCAAACTCTAGTCCTCATGTTTGCATGGCAAGTACTTTAACCACTGAGCCATTTCTGCTCTGTCTTCCAGTTCCAGACTCCTTGCTGCAAATGACAGAATTTCATTATTTTTATGTCTGAATAATATTCTATTGTGTTTATATACCATATTTTCTTTATCCATCTCTCTACTTTCTCTACATTTCTTTATTCATCTCTCTATTTCTCAAATTTCTTTTCTTTTTTTAATTATTATTATTTTTTATGTGTATGCGTGTATTGCCTACATGTAGGTAAGTGCACCCGTGTCACACAATGCCTGCGGAGGACAGAATAGGCTGTCGGATCCTCTGGAACTGGAGTTATGGACAGTTGTTCATTGCCATGTGGGTGCTGGGATTTGAACCCAGGTCTTCTGTAAGAACAACCAGTATTCTTAACCACTGAGCCATCTCTCCAGCCCTTGAATTTCTTTCATTAAAAAAAATTTAATTGCACTGAATTATTTGTATGTGTGTATATGTATGTATGTGGGTGCCACAGTGTATATCTGGAGGTCAGAGGATAACATGCACAGGTCATTTCTCTCCTGCTACCATGTGGGTCCTGGAGATTGAACTCTGGTCATCAGGCTTGATGGCAGGTGCCTTTACCCACTGAACCAGCTTTCAGGCCCCTCTCTAATTTCTTCTCAGCCAGTGCTAAATTTTGGCTCTTTGAAGAGGGAGACCTCTAAGCTGCATTATTCTTCTGCTACTTCTACCTTTTCCTGCAGTCTTTATTCCTCAGATAACTTCAGGTGTGCTGTCTCCTGAGCCCAACAGAAGACAGCTGAGGGTACAACCTGAGATCACCTCTGAACCAAGGATTTGTTGACACCCGTATTTCCAGTTCATTGTGAGGTGTGTTGTGGCAGTAGTTGTGAAGCTGCCACATTTCCCATGGACACTGGGGCCTGCTTTTCTTTTTCTCAAAGCACAGTAACTTAAGAAACAAAAGCGAAATAGGTTTTCCTCTTCACACTTTCTTCTTTTGCCTTGTTTCATTTTCCTCTAGGTGGGAAACTTTCAGCAACAGTTAGCAGAGGCTAAAGAAGACAACTGCAAAGTCACAATAATGTTGGAAAATGTGCTGGCTTCTCACAATAAGATGCAAGAAGCTCTGGAGAAAGTGCAGATAGAGCTTGGGCGAAGGGATTCAGAGATTGCAGGCCTCAAGAAAGAAAGGTACCACACTTTTCTTTCTGCCCTTGGTGTTGCTACACTGTACTAAGTACATGTCTGGAGTACATGTCTCCAGAGAAGATGAAGTCTCTTGATATCTCTTTCTTACTTTGTGAAGAACTATTGAAATGTTGTTGAAAGAACTAGCAGGTTGGGAAAGCTGCAATTAGAAATATTTATAAAAAGTCAAAGTTGCCCTATTTATAGTGGTTCAAAGAAGAATGTGTCCTTGAAATTCATGTGCTACTCTACTTTGTTACTCCTGCTGCTTTTGCACCCTTTAAGCCGAATTCTGCTCTTAGTCCAATAGCATAATAATTGCCAAGATAATAGAAGCTGGGATGGGTGTCTACCCTGGTGGTAGAGAATTTGCATAGCATGTACTAGACCCCAGTTCAGTCCCTAGCATCACATACATATCTCATACATACACACACACACACACACACACACACACACACACACACACACACACCCCAGAAGAACTTATGCTAAACTGTCAAACTGTCATCACACACACACACACACACACACACACACACACACACACACACACACACACACACACACACACACACACACACACACACACACACACACACACACACACACACACACACACACACACACACACACACACACACACACACACACACACACACACACACACACACACACACACACACACACACACACACACACACACACACACACACACACACACACACACACACACACACACACACACAATCTCATACATACACACACACACACACACACACACACACACACACACACACACAAAAATCAATCAAGCATAAAGCTAAGTGACTATTCATGTATTACTATATTATTTCAAGATTAATAACTCCTTTAGGTTAATCATTCTGAGAATTACTTCTAGCTATGTCTTACTAGCAAACTTCATTGAATGTTTCAAAATTTCCATAAAATATTCTTTTAGGTTAAAGAACCTAACCTAGCCATCTGAGGTTAATAGTGCCTCTGAAATATATTATGTATATTACTAGTACACATTGCTTCTATGTTACGAGAAAACAAGTGAATTTTATTTTGTTCACTCTGTTTTTTACTTTTGCTTATTATGAAAATATTATAGTACCTATAATTTTTTAAAAACCAAGAAAATGATATATAAAACTTTGTTTGCTTTTCACAATAAAAGTTTAAGTAGCTATTACATTTAATAAAAATCTCAACAGCAGGTCAACCTTATAGAAGTGATCTTTAATTAGTGATACATTATACTGAATTGTTATTATTAAACTAAGTCAGAAATGTATATTAATTGCCTAACATGTTATGCCCAATTGAATCATATATTGGGGAAGTTTTTTAATTCCTCAGGAACCTTGGTTTCTTACCCTAAGGATGAAGCTATAATTGTCATCCATCAACTCTTTGATATTTTGAACATGTATAACTACTACTAATTGTGCAATCCAAACTTCTCACAGAAGTGTCCTGGAGCTCCCCAGTAAAATCGTCCTGTATTCTCCTCTTCAGCCACGTCTTATGCTTTCTATTTTCAGGTCTCTAAATCAGCAAAGAGTGCAGAAGCTTGAGGCCGAAGTGGACCAGTGGCAGGCCAGAATGCTTATTGTGCAGGCACAGCACAGCAGTGAGGTAGAGGCCAGGGCTGTGGATAACAGGCATATCTTTTTAATTTATTGGGAAATTTCTATTTTAGAAAAATGAAATGAAATACCTGAGAAAGTTCCTTTTTGTTCAAGTGAGAGAGTCTTGGCCAATGACATTGCTATAAATAGAATATAGACCTGTGGTCTTTATGAGCCACTGACTGGCAGAATTATGGCTCATTTTTTGTCTTATGTTGTCTTCATTTTTTTCGTTTGTTAAATGAAATGATTTCAGAAATTAAGTAGCTTAGAAAAATAACATCATCTCAAAGGTAGCTAGTGATCCTACTGAGTGAGGAGATGTGACTGTGGCTTGTATGCGTCCACAGTGAATATGCATCCACACATGTGCACATATGATACCATAAATAAGCCCTTTAAACATTTATTAATTTACTTATTTATTTATAGAAGCATATACATGCCACAGGCACATATGTGGAAGTCAGAAGACAACCTGCCCTCCTTCCATCAGGGGATCAGGGTGATAGCTGGCTGGGGCGTTCCTATTTGGGGTCTCCTCTTCATCTCTTCCTCATTCATCATCAAGCCACTTCTTTATATGAAGGTTAAGCCAAAATGTAAAGAAACTGGTTACATAGTAGCCTTCCCTTGCCTTCTAAGAGTCTCTTAAGCCTGTTATAAATTATGCATGTGTGTGTACATTGCGTGTGTGTGTATGTGTGTGTGTGTGTGTGTGTGTGTTGGGTTTTTTGGCTTTTTTACCTAGGCATCTAGAATGCTTGTTCCAGCTAATAATTTCAAGGGCACTTGTTGATACAATATAAGGAATAAACACACAGTGTCTCACTGGTTACAGTCGAATTGTAGGCTCTCTTCTCTCTTTCAGATGGAGCCACTACAGAAATCTCTAGATATAACTAGAGAAGACAACAGGAAACTGGCCATGAACCTAGAGCAAGCTCTCCAGACAAATGGTCATCTTCAGTCTAAGCTAGACCATGTCCAAGAAAAACTGAAAAGCAGAGAACTTGAGCGACAGAATTTGGAAACCTTCAAGTAAGGGCAGTACATTCTCAGTGAAATTGGGCAAAATCTCAGGAGTGTGTCCCACTCTTCACATAAGCTAATAAAGCCTTTCTCTTACCTGAGCTAATGCTCCTAGCCCAACCATGGTAAGCAACCTGACACAGCTGAACAGCAGCAGGTGATAGCTGGCTGGGGTGTGCCTATTTGGGGTCTCCTCAGCTCTTCTTCATTCATCATCAAGCCATTTCTTTATATGAAGGCTAACCCAAAATTTAAAGAAACTGGTTGCAAGGGACACTCGTATGTTTCTGCCAAGCTTATTTCATCCTTTAAAAGCATGCTTTGAGCCTGCTAGGGGGCATGCACGTATAATCCCAGCATTTGGAAGGCTGAGGCAGGAAGATGATGAGTGCAAAGCCAGCCTGGGCTATATAGTGAGACCCTATCTCAATAAAACCAAATAAAGGACAGGGAAATGGCTCAGTATGTAAAGGTACTTGTATAGGCCTGATGACATGAGTTCAACCCAGATCCCACAAAGTGGCAGGAAAGAACTGGTTCCCAAGATTTGTCCTTTGACCTAGACAGACAGATGATTGATAGATAGATAGATAGATAGATAGATAGATAGATAGATAGATAGATAGATAGATAGATAGATAAACTTAGGAAACCCAAGATTAGTCAAGGACACCTGTGATCCCAGTACTTGGGAGGTAGAAGCAGAGGAACAGGAATGCAAGGTCATCCTTGGCTACTTAGCCAGTTTCTGGAGAGCCTGAGCTATGTAGGATCCTGGCTAAAAGAAACATTTTAATGAGTTGTGAATTTTGTTTTTTTTTTTTTTAAAGTGGGTTTTAATTAAAATAAAACACCTAGGAAAGAACTGGTTCCCAAGATTTGTCCGTTGTCCTAGACAGACAGATAAATGATAGATAGATAGATAGATAGATAGATAGATAGATAGATAGATAGATAGATAGATAGATAGATAGATAAATAGATAAACTTAGGAAACCCAAGATTAGTCAAGGAATAAACAGCAGTTGAGTTTGACAAGTCTATCCAGGAACAGAATGACTACATCCAGGCAGATGATAAGATATTGCTTATTTTCAGTTTTCACCTGAGATTAGTTACATCAAATCATCAAGTTCAGGTCAAGCCACTAAAGTTTTCTCATAAACTATAGGTAGGTAAACATAACTTAGATAATAATATCATATCATGAAAGTTTATGCCAAAGGGAAATGTAGTGTACATGTAGATCTTTATTCTTGTCAGTGATTGTATGTGTTGACATAGGATCAAGGTATAAGCTAAGGCAGAGCAGGCATTTTTGATATATGAACTCTGTGGAAACTTTATACTCTGGTCAAATGTTACTGCCTCAAGACACCAGTATTGGCTAAAACAATATTATGTTTATATAGTATCTGGCAGAATCATTAAAAAAAAATAAAAAATCAGTGAAATTGCTATAATTTACATAGTAAGTCATTCCAAACCCTGAATATTCTGAAATTTCTTCAAGTAGCCATAAAAATTTAGTCCCTCTCACTATGGCTAAAATGATTATAGTAAGGTCATTTATAGGAAAAGCTTTTAGCTTATGTTTTCATCAAAGATGAATCATCCTTCACTTGTGAACCTCTTGAAAGAGCAGAATTTGTGCTAATCTGTGTATGTGCGTAGGAAGAAAGGGCAAGCTTGGGAGATTGTTTTAGACATGTTGGTTTTGGGGTAGAATTAAAAGATTTAGAAATATAGGGCTAGTTCTGAATAGGTCAAAAGTTGGAATTCTTCTTTTCAAAGATGAGAACTAATGTCTTGACCGTGAGTTAGTCTTCTATCGGGAAAGAATAAGATAGAACCAAGATCAGAACTTGGTGATCAGCTACATTTCAGAGAGAAGGAATGGAGGCCAGAGAAGGAGCACTTAGGGGGTTAGTAAAGAATTTGGATGGTATAGTGTCACCAAAGAAGGAGCAAGAGACTCAGGTGCTGCTTATTGAAGAGCAAGAGGCCAGAGAAGGAGACAGGGAACTCTGCAACTGCTGTCTCCTGAGCATCCTCCAGATGGCCAACTTCTGTAGATCTGAAAGAGTCCAAAAAATAAGATCTAGATCTGGTCTCCAAAACTAACAGAAGTGAAAATCAGCTGCTGAGGAAAGGCAGGCAAGGAGGACAGTGGTGAAGATGAAGATCAGCCCAATGGCACTCCGTGAACAAAAGCCATTCTGCTGCTGGCTTTCTTGTGCCTAGGACGAAAGGAACTAGATTCTGATTAGAGGGTATAGACTAGAGTTCCGCTGAGCCCTGAAAAAAACAAGGGAACAAAAGTGAAGGGTTGTCATTGAAATTGATCTCAGGAGAACACAGCTTACTATGAAACTAGAAAAGTGTAGTGGTCCGATTCCTCAGAAGAAAAAGCAAGGTGAGCAAGGTCTAGAGACCTTTGTACCACAATGCATATAATTAGCAGCACTGTAGTGTGTATAGAGATGACTATCAAAATAGTTGTTACACGAAGTGTTCCTGTCACAATAAAAAGAATTGAAGCCAATATGATCTACACAAGGTGGCAGCAGAAATGGAAGCCTGAAGGAAGAAAGGAGACTAATCAAGGGCTAGTAAGATGACTCAGTGGGTAAAGGTGATTGCAACCAACCTTGAGGACTTAACTTTGATCCCAAGGGCCCACGTGGTGGAAGAAAGAGAACTGATTCCTGAAAGTTCAGTTTTCTTTCTACACACACACACACACACACACACACACACACACTAATGATAAAGTTATTTATTCTATACTATCGTTTTATTACACAGAAAAATGCTGCACAAAGTATTAAGCCCAAGATACAGAACTAAATTTCATTTGAGATTAGTTAAAATTTAGAATCTTGCGTTTAAATGATGATAGCAGCTAACACCATATGTTCATTATGCTAAATACTCCCTTCTTAAAACCAGCTAGGATACGTGATGGTAGACACTTCATTATTCCAACTTTGCAGATAAGGAAATGGGCATGGAAAGATGGCCTGACATACCCAAGGCCAGATACCATCTTGTTGGAATTTGATTTGGATTCAGGGAGCAGCAGAATGACTAAAGCCCATAATCTTAATCACTGCTATAATAAGCAAAATAATGTAATGGCAGTTTAGAAAGTTATAAAGAAAATTACAATACAATATATACTATACAAATAATAGTTTGCCTTCATATATATATATATATAATTTCTATATATATATATGAACATTTTTGGTCCACTTTTTCAGATTGAGATGGGTACAGTGTAGAAGAAGTGTGGGGATGTGATAAATAATAAAATATAATTATCTCTCCAGTGACTTCAGATTCTTCTAGCACTTTATGTGGTGCTGTTAGGAAAGGTGTCAGTGGGGCTGGGGAGATGGCTCAATGGGTAAAATATCTGCCACAGAACCTGACAACATGAGAGCCACCTCCTGCAGAGAGAGAGAGAGAGAGAGAGAGAGAGAGAGAGAGAGAGAGAGAGAGAGAGTGTTTATGAAACGAGAAATGTAATTAAAAAGAAAAGGTATCAGTGGATTTTCAGAGATGATGTACCAGAGTTCATTACTGTGTTCCTGTGTGAGGCCAGGAGATATGAGAGGGGTGGGGTTATAGTTACCACCTTCAGGTCTCATGACAGGTGGAACCAGAGCTGCCAAGTGAACTTTGCCGAATCTCTTAGCACAGGCTTATTTAGAGACACAGGAAACAGAGTGTAATCCAAATAAACATAAACTGCTCAGGAGAGAGGGAAAGAATGTTCAGGGCAAGCTAGGCTCCTCCTAGTCTTTGGGAAATATGGTGCTACAGCGCACAGAATAGTCACATGCTGAGGCATTGTCATCTCCAACAGATTCTTAAAGCAGAAGAGGTCCTTTGCTTAAATCCACTGGTGCTTAATCTTTTCCCCTTTTCTTGTAGGAGTCAAAAGCTAAAGCCTCATACCCACACAAGGCATTTTGCAGATCATTTCAGAAAAGTTAAGCATTTTCAGAAGCCTATCATAGATCTTGACCAATGAACCCAAACTAAGAATTCTAATCAGATATAAGGCTCTCACTTTAAAGATAAGGAAACAATATAATTAGTAGTTAAAACCTACAGAGTAAATATTAGCTAAATCAAAAGACATAACCAAACAAAAATAACCATCTCTTATACATGGCTATGCCCTCTAATGTCTTTCCTAATGCTTTTTACGCCTTTGGTTGAATCTCTTCATACAGAATGAATTTTTAGATTCATGCTAGAGGTAAATGCACCCCTTTTTTCTTGGTACTGAGCTATAGCTTATGAACCAGCTGATGATTGATCTGCTGCTCCTTGATAATCATACATCTTTTAGAAATACACATTCTCCTGAAACTCTTTTTTGACTCTTAAGATGATTTCTGAAGTGATTTTGTCATGTTTCTTTCAAAACAGAGAACGGATGGCTGAGGAATCCAAAGTAGAAGCAGAATTGCATGCTGGCCGCATAGAAGCTCTAAGAAAGCAATTTCAAACTGAGAGAGAAACTTTGAAGAAAGCAGCACAGCGGGAAGTCTCTGAGGTATGGAGCCAAGTGACAGGGCCCTCTCTAAATGCCTCTAAAGAGGATCAGCAGCAGTTGCAGAGAATGTCTGCAGTTGTTCCTTAGCCTTCAGCAGGCCAGATGTAACATAGCCATCTGGGTTTGCAAAGCAGCACTTACAAGACAGTTTCTGATAAACAGTTCTCTGCCAGGCAAAGGAGTACCTTAGGAAGAGCCTTTCTATCAGAGTGAGAACTGAGTGGACCGAGGCATGAGAAGACTGCCATCTGACAGATCCAATCAGTCTCCTCATATACTGTGTATCTACTGCTCTGGAGAGGCACACAGAACAACAGTAGAAGGACTGGGGATGTAGCTCAGTTGGTAGAAGGCTTGCCTAGCATGCACAATGCCCTGGATTCAATCCCCAGCACCACATAAACCAGACATGGTGGTACATACCTGTAGCCCCAGCATCTGGGAGATGGAAATAGGAGGATCAGAAGTTCAAAGTCATACTCAGCTATGTATCAAGTGACCTAAACAGTGTCATGTTTGCTTGAATCCACTGGTGCTTAATCAAGGAAGCCTACGCTACATGAGACCCTATCTAAAACAAAACAAAACAACAAAGATGTGGCACTCGCCTGATGTGGTGGTACATGTAGATGTGTGGGCTCTCTCCCTTTCCTCATGGGTTGTTGGCCACCGGTCCACAAGGACAAAGGGAGCAGAAGCGATGAACAGGGTCAGGATGGCCAGTGAGCACTGATAGAAGAAAGCCCTTTCCAGGGAGGCAGGTTCAGTGATACAAACAGCTCCAGACTCAGTGAAATAGCTCCAGATTCAGTGAAACAGCTCCAG